TACTTATTAGGGAATATATATCGTGGCGGGGAGGGTCGTGAATATCCAGCTTCTATTCAGGATATTTGCATGATCCACGTGGTCCTCAAACAAAATGTTGCGGGTTATATGTCACATCATAAGATCTCGCACGCTATGCCACTAATTATCGGTAAGAAAAGTGTAGAGGGAAAAACATCAGAATACGTGGTATCAGGTTATTCAATAAACCACAGTCCTTACGGTGTTCAAATCGAATCGGTTGCTTCAGCGACATCAATATAAAGGAAGCCATTGGTTTGCTAACAGCTTCGAATCACTCTGGGTGAACAAGTAACCCGAGTAGTTTATTTACGGATCAGAAGTCACAGATGGCAAAACACGGCAACCTTTTCCGACTGAAATGAAACCTACGTTATTGGAGCAACCAACCGGCAAGAAATAGTACTAAGCCAGGTGTTTAGGTGAAATTGTAAATCAAGCATATGAAAGGAAGCAACTCACCTGGATAAGCGGATTGAAATCGGTTTGCACAAGATGGGTGGCACGACCTTTCGTCAACATGTGCACAAACCGTGCAGTTTCATCTGGACAGGTCGTTAATACTCTAAAAACGGAAAGGAGAAAACGAAACCAAAGACGTTGATGCAGAAAAACGAAATCAACAAGTGATAGAAAATGGACAAGCAATAGATTTCACATTACAAGGGAGCACAAGCGAGTGACGTAATTTGAAATATCTTGGGGAAATGTTTCAGCAGCCGTTAAAAAGTAAAGGGAGAAATTCAATTAGGTTTGGGTTTTAGAAACTGTCTCTTTTCAACGGAAAAATGATTTACAGAAAAAACGAAACCAATTACGATAAAAAGTCAGATTCGTGAAAATGACGAAAATAGTGGTTTGTGATGATTATCTTGTCTCTTTTTTTTAAATGTGCCACAGTACAGACAATACGAAGAAATTTTCTGTTACCAAAGCACGGTCGATCTCCTATTCTTCATCCAAATGAGCAGCCAAAAGACAGCAACCAAAACCGGCGCACGAAAAGATTTGGTTAATGGTTGTACAAACTGACTCAAACTGAAACAGACGATCAACGGTTGTCCGGGATTCTACGGAAAAGAGATTGTTGCGTAGCAATTATGGGATTCGGATATATATATATATATATAGGATTCTGTTGTCTGAACTGATTCAAGGATGCCACCTACTTACATTAATGTACAGCGCACGCACTACCAGCTAAGCTACGAGGCCATACGGACAACGTTCCTCTCCTCACAATGCAAATATAATACTTTAATCCGTCAGACAACACAATTCGAACTGCTGACCCTGATTTAGAAGTTCATTCGGTGGACAGCGGACTATTCTAAGGGAAATATGCCGTGGCAATCAGGTTACATGCTACGCGGTGGATTCCGAATGACTCTCTAGGTTGGATGAGTACATCAAATGTGAGAAGATCAATGCTTTCGGTGTGGCCTCGTAGTCCAGCTGGTAGTGTGCGTAGACTGCATCCATGCGTGGGTTCCAGTCCCACGGAGGCTACTGAACAATTGAAAATTTGAACATTTTTCTCTATATGTACTTGCCAATAATGTCTTGCGATCCCGTAGATAAAAACACCAGCTCGGTTGAAGCCTCCGTAAATGGCAGAGCTACCACATTTCAGTTGTTCCGATACCCGTTGGTGGCGGTTATCTTGCGTATTATTCTTGTAAGTTCCCAACCACGTACGTACTCCGATGTGGTTCAGTCCCTACAGATGTACCCAAGGAGGTTTGTGATTTCACTCACGAGAACCCCGCACAAAACCCTTAGGATACTAATCAAACAAGCTTACCTCTTTTCGAACATCGAACTAAAGACTGCAAATATTTTAGCTCATACGGCACATGCAACAGTAGTTGGGTTCACACAAGACAGATGATGGCACTTTTCTGATTTGCGGATGAAGCATTCTCCACCGTCTACTCGTGCTGTTCTGGAAACCTTTAACGCATTTGTGGCTCTGAAGGAACTTGCAGCTGCTGACAAGATGTTGGACGCGAACCACAACAACGATGTCCAATCCACTACCTCTTTCCACCCCACTACCAACAGCAATTGGTCAACAGGTAGGGGTCCTTAATTCAAAGTGAGCGATCATGTTCCCCAAACCGTACCTCTCACTGAAGCTCTTGTTGACGGTCATCAAATGGCAAGTCTGTTTTTCTTCTGGTACCACCATGGCTACGATGCCGCTTCCCACCTATTGCCTTTAAACCTCGCACTTCGAGGAACTCCTAGGCCAGTCAGTAATGGCAGCGGTTGCCGCTGACCCCGTTGAAGATAGCCTGTTCTAGGATCCACCACAGAGAACTACTTGGTTGACACCGGCACTGGAGTTAATGTTGTTCCATCTGTGTCCAGTAAACAATCTTCACCCCTCCTCTTTTACTCCAGGCGGTGAACTCCTGAACACCAACCTTGATCTCCAGCACCGATTCCGTAGGGCGTTCATAGTTGCTGATATGCGATACCCGATGTTGAATTCTATTCTGCTTTTGGTTTAATAGTCGATGTCCGTGTTTGTCTGACACGGCGACTTCTTTCACGAACTTCAACGTCCACTCGTCAGTGAACTTCTTGCATGAACAGCCCGGATCACTAGATACGAGCTCTTTGGTAGCACCTTGGGGGAGTTCCCAACAATCATCAAACCGCAGACGTTTAACGGCAACGTTGTACATGAGACTGAGTATCACAAAGAACCCTCTCTTCCGGAGAAAATCGCTGTTACCAAAGTAATTTTCGAGAACATGATGCAGCTCAGAATATACCGACCGTCATTCAGTCCCTGGCTTCTTCACTTCACACGGTCCTTAAATCCAGTGGTGACTGACGTCTTTGTGGCGATTACCGTGCACTGAACAATCCCACTACTTCAAACCGTTACGCACTACCACTCATGAATAATTTTTCAAATAATCGGTAAGCGGGTATTTTATAATTGGATCTTGTGAAGGCTTCCCATGAAATACCCGTTGCTCTCGAGGGCACATCTAAGACTGGTATCATAACACCGTTTGGTTTATACAAATTCCATCATATACCTTTCGGCTTGCAGAATGCGGCTTAATCAGTCCGGCGTGTCATGGACCAAATACGGCGAACACTGAGCTTCGCATCTCTGTACCTTGATAACGTCCTCATTGACAGCAGTAACGAGGATGAACATTGCAAACATTAACTCTTGAACCCTAGTGAACGAACCGGAGGAAGGTGAGCAAAATTCTTCTCGTGTAAGTATAAAGTCACTAGGAAAAAATACTCACTACGTTATCCGTAAGCGACGTGAGTATGAAGGCAGAGATAAATTGCTCTACCAACAATACAAAACGATTATCTGGGGGAATTACGACTTCATCAATCAACTGTGTGGTCTGGTACTGGTTTCAGTAAGCGCATCAGACGAGCATCCCTATATCCGACGCGAATCTCCAGACAAAATAAATAAACTAAGGAGCCGAATTGCACCTAACTGACTTTAAAGCTTCAAACGGATGTTGGAACCGTTTCAAAGAGTTAGAACATCAGTGATAGCAGGATGAGAGGCAGCAGCTGCAGATAACATGAACCCAAGGAATTGGATCCAACGTACAAAGGAAATATTCACGATAATGCAGTAACATTGAGGAGCTCAAGTTTCAGTTTCAACAATCATTAGCCACGCAATTTATACGGCAGTTTTGATTGCTGTTTTTAGCGATCTATTTAGATGAAGGGGTGGCGGTAAGATCCGAATGTTGAGTGCATCGGCCAAACATAACAAAACCCATCTGTCATTAAAAAAGACATGGAAACCTCACCAAAACCGCCACCCCATCCAACCTCGCCTTCTGTCCCAAACAAAAGAGTGGAAACAGAAGCGATGTTTTACTTTACATGTGAGTACTGGTGAATGAAGCATTAAAAGGGTTTCTGCTTGACTCCAAAATAGTTACGCAGAGCAGCACATGTATCGATCCCCTACATTTAGCTTTTAATTGATGTCAGGTAAAATTCTGTGATAGACTGAAGTGATGATTATGGTTTTGTTTAAAAATTTGACCTTAAATTCAGGACGATAATACTGAAACCATAAAAAGGCACACAACTTGCGTAGTTGCTTTCACGATGAGTAACGTCACGAGACTTCTGCAAAACGGATCAGCATAAAGTGCATAAAAAGTGCATCTCTGGAGGTGGTGACCAATTATTCTGAGGTTTAATGGGGACTCTTGATTCCCGAGAAACAATACCAGAGACCGTATTCTGTAGCAAACTGATTTTTATCCAGGTCTACAGAGAAGGCAGGACGGCCAATATACATATCAATCCCGCAGTGTTCTGCATGCATTGTGGCCTTTGGTATTTTTCGATTTATATCTCCCGTTGGTTTGAATAGAGACTGTGCATAAAAATAATACAACAATCTTTATGACAGAGGAATCTGCTGAGTATTTTCTTGTGCGTGGAATATTACCATGGTATGTAGGTCAAAGCAGTTGAACGTTCTTGTAAGATTTACAACCGGCCTGACTTGTAAGGCAGCGGAACGTTGTGTGAAAACTACGGTTTCTCGGGAGCCGATATCAAACCATTCGGATCATACACACATCCGGCATCATTCACATACTCTGGCGACTCTGCCAGGATGCATTTCACCCAACAACGGACTCCGGAACACTGAGAGATAGTGTAACGACCTTAGTAACTTGCTATTTCGTGTGATTGTGAGTAGCGTCTATGTCTCTCTGAACCCTTTGGTTAATGGTGTCAGTTTACTCTCTCCATGGAGAGTTTAGTTCAGTTCTTACAAACAATTAACTATGCACCTTCGTGCGCCGGAGAACCTCCGGTCTGTCGACGGTTCCAGCCCACACCGAGACTCGACCCATATTCAACGGTTTGATGTATCAGTTCACGGGGAGACATCCTGTTGCACACATGGGTCAAAGCATATTACAACACCAAAGGTCCGAAATATGCCCGATCGTTCACTCAAGCGGGTGATCATCGCAGTACAAACACCTCTTCTTGGAAGGTTTGGAATCACGGTCCTCCGGACCATTTAGATGAGCCCGCCGTCCGTGGTTCATCAATTCCACTACGACCCAGGTATTGGCCTCTCGTATTGTTTTTTATTGTAAACTCCCCAATCACGGGAACAAATTAAACAGGACTTCCCAATGAGAAACGCGCTACACGAGAGTTCGTCAGTGCCATGTTGCTGAACAGCGGAACAACAAAAGACAAATCAAACAGTTGATAAAAATCACTTTCCATAGATTCGTCTGTGGAATTTATTAGATGTACAGAGCTTCTGAAACATGTACTACCCAGTTGCCCTTGGGGAAATCGGTAGATCTCGGGAGAAGTTATTCTAGACTAATGAATACTTTACACTGCATAAGTAAACGATCAAACAAATGACTGCATTAAAAACATAAGTTATGGATATTGTTGACTACTCTTTGACAAAGTGAACACGATGATGACTTCGCCGAAAAGTGATGTCGATGACTGATGAGTGACGTATAAAAAGAGACCAGGATACAACGGAAACAAGGGACGAAAAGCAGCTAAACAGATGACAACTGATCAAGGTGAGTGACGACAGAAACCGAAAAACTTACAGGTTCCACATTTTTAACACGGCCGATTGAGTGAGAGGTTGATGATCATTTGTTCCGCCGCTCGCTGAGTACACAACATATTTCCAATAAAGAGGACAATTTANCGCCGCTCGCTGAGTACACAACATATTTCCAATAAAGAGGACAATTTAATGCCTGGAAAAAATATGGGAACGAACAGGGGAAACAAATTTGACACATCGCAAACGGGCACAAAAACGAATGGGAAACTGATATCCGGAAGAAAATTTAGAATCTCTCATGCAATGGATACAAAAATAACGTCAAGTGAATGCTGAAATTGCTACTTTATCACAGTCGGTCACATGAACCCCGAGGCTTGGAGGGGAAAATTATATAAGGCTCCCACAGACGAAACGAGACATTGGAATAAATTAAAATTAAAATAGTGATGCTGTTAAATCCCTATACCGATAGGCAGTTAAGGTTAGTGGAAACGATAATCAAACGTGCACCTTGTCTTGTTTAATGTATTTAGCAACTTGTATGTTTAAGTTTAGTTCGGTTTTTGGTTGATGTACCCCAGGAAAGGTATACCGAACATCGAAATAAACAGACAAGAGACAGTAAGACAATGGACAGACGTTGCCAGTTTTCATTCACACGAGGAGAAAATTGGAGGAATAAACAGGGAGAAGTACACTGGAGTCGCTTAGTGTACTGTGACTTGAGTCATCCTGTTCACCAGCAAAAGTTGTATACTCTGGATTTGTGTTGGAATGATCATTCAGACTTTACTCTTGCATATACACAGACCCGTTCTGAACCCCGGACCTCTCATATGGAAGGTGTGTGCTACCATTGTGCTAACCAGTTCACACCGGGGCCGCTCAAAATTACGCAATCAAGTTTGTTTCGATGTTGTCTTTAATGAGAGTTAGTTGGTTTATTTGGCCTAACAGTGAGAGAGAGACATCACTCGTTGTCGTTGCACATCAGTGTACGGTGAACAGCAGAACGGATAAACACACGAATCACCGGGACTTACTGTTCACACATGATGGTTGGTAGCAAAAGCTCTGGAACTTGGAGTGGCGAACAGCATAAGAATCCACCAGGCTCGGCACAGTATTAGGCGAATCTGCCTACCACCAAAGTTGAGTGGCATGGTTCGAACCTGAAGACGAAAGCACGCCTATGACAGCAACTTAAATCACCTACCACTAACCGAAGTTGAGTACATAAATGCACGATAGTGCTATGCGTAGTTAACAGAATGGTGTAATGCGGAAATAAGTGCACAGTGGCGCAGTAGTTTATTCGCTGTCACTGGCGTACTTTGTTCCCTATGATCCGAGGTTCGAGCCCCGCCACCGCCACCCAACTCTGGTGGTAGACAGCTTTGCCATCGTCCGGTTCAATACTACACCTATGTAGTTCGTCCCGGGACTTGGAGTATCGGTTTTCGTGATGGAGCAGCAGGTTTTCGTGTTTGAGTTCGCCCCGTCTGCTGTTCACCAGACAAATTGGTGTAATAAAAAAACATGGAGGTCATCAACTAAATAACAGAAAGCAAATTGGAGCCTCTTGGTTAAAAAACGTCAAGAGAAAATAGGGTCCGAGATTTTACTTACTTTCGCAACTTGTCCAAAATTCGAATAAGGAATCAACGAATCAGAAGCACCGTTTTTATTCCCGTTGCCTAGGCTCTCCACAATTCGACTCAGTTCACGCTTCGCTCGATCAACCTCGAATGAGATCTCTTCCTTGGTCATGCGTGTTGTGCCAAGCGGAAAGTGGAATGAAGGAACAACTTTTTTTGTCTGTGTAGACGGAGTGGTTAAGGTCGGGGGTTTCGATGCAGGCGGCGACTGTGGTTCAACCGGTGTGGCTCTCGATTGGTCCGCACGCACAGAGCCATTGGCTTTGACCGGAGTCGGACCTACATCTCCCACTCCTCCACCGGATGAGCTAATTGGGGATTGTGGACCGGCTGCATGATGTCGACCGGGTTCGCGCGTATCTCGGACTGTTGTAGTCGTGGTCGGTTGTCGAGTTGCGTTAGCATCTATCTTCGGAGACTCGGTCGCAGGTAAAGGAGATGCGCTCGACTGTTTGGTACTAGCGGGAGAACGTTCAGTATTGCGAGAAGATGCACGATTGGGCCTGGCCTTGTCAGATTCCTCTTCCTGCCCAACAGATCGACTAGAACCACGATTGGGTAAAGCGATCTCCACATCAGCATTCTGCAAGGCATCTGATGCAATACCACCTTTCAACCGAGTAACCGATTGAACTGTGTCCTCTTTTCTTTGCTTTTTCAGAGTGGTTGAGTCAGGAACACGTCCATCACTCGTGTTCTTGAAAGAAAAGGAATTTTTAAAAATAAACGAAAGGATGAAATGGGATCCAATTGTGTGCATGAGAGCCACGGCATCATCCGGCTAAAAGATGTTATGTGAAATTGGTCTGTATTTGTATAACTTGTGTAAGCTTATATGCTTATATTTCAGTTAAAAATGTACACTGTTCGTCACGTGGAATGAAATATCCATTTCCATATAACATGCAACGTAAAGAAGGTAGCTTAAGTTTGTTCATGTACAAAACTTCTGACGCAGTTTAATTGTGACCTATTCCTTATTGGTTAGAAGTCTGGTCAGACAGAGTACAAGTGAATGGATATAAATGTTAATACGAGGATAGATGCCAAAAACAGGAGTGTGGACGGATGGAAACGACGAGATGATGTATCGGAACTTAGTGGATGAAGAATGTCGTTTAGAATCTTATTGGTAAATTTAACACAAGAGATGATGCGACCATTAATGAGTTTTGTGATTAATGAATTGATTGGGATTAATGGATCAAGGATGAACCAGAAAAATTATGAACAACGGCTCAGCTGCCAAAATCAGTGTTCTCTGGTTTATGCTCGGCAGCATCACAATCGAATAGCAAAAGTAAAAACAAAGTGGCCATAACGGGTTCGTCCCTATCCTGACAAGTGATTTACATAAATGTTGCATAAGTGTTCCGTGTCTAGTCAAGCCAAGAACTGTACTAGTTACGAAACAGATCTGGAGATCCGAAACGATGTGTGAGAGTTGACCAGGAATCCCCATCACATCGAAAGCTGCTTAACCTTTACAACCAACAAAGCAACAAGTTTTGTGATGGGCAACAGCTTATCTGTAAATGTAATAGGGAAACTTAATGGGGTAACCCCAAGTGTTCTCCATGAAAGCGGGCACCTTCCGCGTCATTGTAGCATTGTGTGATTCGAGGCATGTGAAAAAGTCACGCTTTAGCAAAAATCACAGGCTGCTCGCAACAACCGGGTGGGTTACATTGAGCACAAACACCTCCCAAGAGATTATTCAAAGATGTGGCAACCTAATCCCACTGTAAAAAGATTGCAAATGTAAATAGACAGTAGGATAGCTCGCTTGTGGTACACGAAACAGATATTACGAATGACAATAGATGAAATCCATTACGCGGTAAATGGATAGATTTCACGAATATTTGGGCAAAAATAAAGTTCAACGAACACCGGCACCGTTTAGAAAACCGATAGCTTTCGAATACGCCCTACACGTAATGGAAACAGTTGTGTATCATAAAAGAATCGTCTATTTGTTGAGACTCGCGTTCGGATTGGAGGAAGATGAACGTCAGAGAAGACTCAAATCGGTAAACGGTAAATGTTTTATCATCTATGTTCTCCTTTCACGTAAATTTAACAGCAAAATGACCACCGACTGTCAAGGTTGCAAAGTACACATGCACGACTGCCCACAAAAATATATCCCATTCGCCTTAGAGTCACACACACGGTCAATTTTGTCATGGAATTTCTTACTCAGCGCATGGAAATCATAACGAACACAGCAACACCGCTACCGGAGCTGTTTGGTAACGCAGGCAAAGTAAGTCAGCTAATCCAACAATAAATCAATGTTTAGATAAACGCTTTTTGAAACGTAACACGGTCGAATCATTGTCTTCATTCGTACCTTAATCTCTTTCTCATTTTTCGGTGTTGCTATGTCGGAACCATATTTGTTAACAAGCCGGAGTAAAAATCAATAACGTTACTAAATAAAACACCGAAAAACTGTGTAATCAAAATCAACCTTGCATTCGAAGAGACTGGCGATTCTCACTAATAGCAACATACAAGCATCGCTCTGTATGGAAAGTAGAACGGCTACTCACAAACACAATATTCTTCAAGAGTATAAAAAACAATTAAAAGGAATCGGTGAGGCTTAGAAAATCGCCAAAAATCGTTAGACTCATCGTGGGCAACCTAAACATGGAATGGTAGTTGGCGATTCATATCATAGGGTTTTAGTGGCCTTTAATTATTATTTCAGTTCAGACGGAAAGTGCAGACAACCAGAGGAGAATTGCGAAACGGGAAAGTAAGAATGTGAATACAAATTAGCCTTACTTCAGTCACGTGATTAGAGAGACTGATTTCGCGCTCTGTTGGTTTACCGAGGCCTGGTTCCGGCACAGTAATCACACGATCTTCCGCTGTTCCATTGACCTGACTCTTATCACGAGTAGATGGCGCACTAATTGAAGTGGGCGACTTCGGAGATTCATTTTCTCGTATAATGGATATCTCCGGTACAGGACTTCGGTCTGCTTTTGAGTCATCCAGTAGACTCGTAGTCTTGGTGGGCACTTCGGTTTTACCGGTGTTTACAATAGCATTAGTAGGCGTTGCAGAAGAAATGCTGGTTGTCACTGTTGTTCCTGGAGGTGGTGTGGCTGGAGAAATTTTGTTTGTAGTGGTACTTTTGTCTGCATTTTCAGATTTGGTAACCACTAACTTGGCTCGCTCGCCCGTCGTAATTTGCTGCGGTGTGGGTTTCTCGCTCTCACGTATCACAACCGTTGAGGGACTAACTGTTGGAGAATTCAATGAGGCCCGTGCCGAGTGAACGGTATGTACAGGGTGATGGTGCGTGACGGCCGGAACGGGCAGGTTTGGTGGCCCCCAAGCAGAAGGTGACAAGTTTAAACCGGGTGAACTCAAAGATACAGAATTAGCATGTGCACCGGTCAGCAGAGGTTTCAAAACAGTTTGTTTGTTCGGTGCAGAGAATATTTCCGATGCGGGAACACAATTGCTCATATGCACCCCGGCCGGACAGAAGCGGGACGTGGCCCGTTCCACATTGGACTGTGTGATCGGCGCGATGGCCACATTGTTTGTCACAAGCACGGCGCGTGGACATCTCTGGCATGAATGGATGGCCCGTTGCCATGTAAGATCGACGGAGCAAGTGTGATATACCTCAACCCGCGAGGCAAGTACCAGACTTGGTGTTCCTGTTAGCACCAGCATAGTATCACGTCAGCGACAGTGTGAATCCAATCAGCTGACTTGCGTGATGTAAACTACAGAGAACGCGTTCATAAACCATGTGACGCGTAATCGATCCGGATTAGATCCAGAATTCCATTAAATGTAGTATCTAAACAATTAGCACAGAGCACATGAAGGGATCGAGGCGTGCACCAGAGGGAAGCCGTAACGGGACGTAATGAAATCGACACGAATGAAGTTTCGGTCCTCTGGCCAAAACTACCGGCTGACAAGTATATGCCCACCACACGCTAGAAGCGCATCGCGTGTGAGTGAGACTGCATGCCGCAAGCACTGTGGTCTGCACAGGTCGTCAGCCCACGATTGTCGGAAGGCGAGTTGGCACAGACACGTTCGACCAGTTGAACTTGGCCCAATCGACGCGCAAGGATCGACAGATAAACGCTACACACAAACACCAGCACCGAGACAGTAGTCGCGTCCTCACACAAACAGTCGCACTATCTGCGTAGTTGGATCGATCGAACCTGCACTGTAGGTTCAGTGCGGAGACCCAAACGGCGCACATTTCACAAACGCGCGCACGTGAAATAGTGTGACAGACATAGGGCGGCACGAACAGACACGCGAAATATGAAACCAGTCTGACGCACGTCGATGCTACGATACGATTGGTCCCTGCACGTACGGGTCTGATTGGTTTATTGGGTAGCTGGGACAACCACAGGATAGCCAAAGGCCGCAACACGATCACAAGCTCAAGGCAATTTTTACGGCCTCACAAAACTCGTGCCCCAAGTTGAACACAGGATGCAACACCAAAACACCATAACACTCGATTTGATGGCAAAAGACTTTCGAACGTGTTACTTTTAATTGGTAGTCAACCCGGCGACGCTAGTCGGTTCAAGATTCGAGAATCGATTTTTATCATTTTGTTCTGGTGAATGTTCATAAGAATACCGCGCTGTCGTATACCGATTTGAGAGGAAGGGGTGTAATTCTGAGGCTAGAAGGCCGTCGTAGACACAAGTAAAGTAGAGGATAGTTAACTTTTATCAGGTAAATAGAAGAAGATTGAATGAAAAATAAAGATTTCGAAAACAGAAGAAGGAGGTTCGGTTGGAATTCTAAGTGAAGATCTATTAGAAATTATGGTGATAACTCAGGTTTGGATACTGCTACAGAGGAAGAACTGATGACAAAATGAAACCAATAACGGACTAGACAGCAGTTACCAAGCAAGTATTGAACGCTGACATGCCAAACCGAAAATAGTTGAAGTTGTTAAACCAGATGGTCGTGATGCAGCTATGGCTACGGGGCTGAATTCAACGGTCATATAAGCCTGACCTGATAGCATATTCAAGTAAAAAAGTACGTCATCACCCGGTTCACACGAATTCGTTTTAGTGATTTAATGAGTAAACAGGATTATGTGGTTGGAGCCATTGTCAATGATGACCATCGGATTGTACTTGCCGTCACCGTTTGGTGGCGGGTAGATTCACTATTACCTGTCTCAATGGTTTATCTGTCCCACTAATGTATAACGTTGATTGGCCTGTTCTAATATTCATCATAATGCATTCTGTTATAACAAACACCTTTTGTATTGTAACGGAAATGAGTGAAAATAACTTTTGTGTTTACCGTTCAACGAACCAATCCGGATAAGCGGGGGATATCACATGAACTAGTGAGAACGATAACAAGTGACATCGTTGAACAAGTGCTAAAGAATCTGAACAACAAAACATTCGAATAACGATACTGGTTATTTGTAAACGGAGAGACCCAACATTCGCCAATTTAAAGTTCATCCTCCTGTCCTGAGAATTTTCGCACAACCAAAAAGATGCGTTTTACGCATCCGGATTACCAAGAGATACTTTTTGAAAAGATAACGGAAAAACTGATTACACTGAATCGTTCCTGAAAAATGTGACATCTGTGCAGATACCACAACGCACAGCAGCGTGCAGGTGTTTTAATTCTTTATCATTGGTGCGCTCCAGATCCTAGGATCCGAAATTCGAACCCTGCTAACACGACCCAAATTGAGTTGACTGACTCAAAACTACACTGATTGTATTTGACGACTTTTTAGCTCTATTCTCCAAGTTGCCGATCCACGGATCCCGTAAGTAAACAGATTGTAAAATTTGTTTGCTCTACTATTCATCACGTAAAGGAACGCTATGAGCAATCATAATGGAATGACTTTACTGTAGTTCGAGACGGGAGAGATAAAAATAATACCAAATTTACTAGGAGCAAACACATGACATTTGGTTTTAGACACTGGTGTTAACGATTTCTAATTTGTCCACTGAAACCAAGACAAAGTAAAAAGGGCAAAAAAACTGAGCGAGAGGTGACACAAAGACAATAAATTATTACCTATCACGTTATATCTAATGGGTGGTTTGAACAGAAAACCTTTTTAGTGACTTAAACTGCTTACAACTAATAACAACTGACAAGAGAAGCTTTAAAACATTGAGGAAAGAAATGGAAATTATCATTTCATGACTGAAGATTCAAATACGGTCATTTAACATTGCCTTAAACAAAACAACAGAATGGCGAAATAATGCGTTTTCAGTGATTCGTATTTATGCCAATGTATCACAATATATGTACATCACTGATGGGGAATAAAATTGTCTTGGGAAAATAAAGTAAAATGACATCACATACTACTGAATAAGATTTCATTATGAGACCAAAAATAAGATTCACCATGATTAGATATCTGCTTTTGTTCA